AATTTGCTGCCCTTTCTAACAACGACGGTGAATAGAAAAGGAGGAAAAACATTGACGGATTTGAAAACTCCGGCTCCTCAGTAAAACTCTGCCTTGGGGTCTTTTTCCAGATCACAACTTCTAAAAAGTCCTTATCTTGTTCTTTAGGCACATTATTGGTCTACAAGCCTGTTAACGGTCTTTGAGACTTCCCAAGGCAGGCACTGTGTCGTATTCGCCTCGATAATCAGACACCCTGGTTCATGGGAGAAGCCCATGAAATGTTTGATGAATGGATAAAGGAATGAATGAATGAATGACTGCATTTAATAGCATATCCGTCTCAATGATGTAATAGACATTCTGGGTATTGTGTAAATCTTGCAATATTTAGGCCTTGTATTGAAATCCCGTGTTGTATTTCTACATGGGTTGGCCTAATAGGGCATATCACTAAGACCTTACTTTAAATCTGTATCTTTTTTTTTTTTCCTTTATTGTGTTTATTTTCTGGATTATGAGACTTTGAGTTCTTTAAAAGAAAAGTACCATGTGGAATCTAAAGGGTAGCTACTGATGATTTTTAATGGCTGCGGTTTATTAATTAGACTGGAAAATACTAGCAGCCTTGCCCTGACAATCTGAGAATGTGAGTTTTATTTCTAACTGCTCCCTTTCTAAGAGGGGTTTTTATTAATGAGGAAAGTGTAGACAGCTGTCTCTCTTCATTTTTTTATTTCCAGATACCATCAATTAAAGATTAATCAAAATGTGTTTCCTTTACACCCAGATTGACAACAATTTATTAACTCCATGGATATTCCTCAGAATCCACAAATTGTCTTTTTACTCTTAGATGATTTCATTTTCACTAAAAGCATAAATATGGAATACCCAATTGCAGGATGGGGTTGATAGGATAAAGAACAACTTTCTAGACCATGCCCTAAAATTAGCTATATTACAGCTAGTTATGTTTAATCTGTGCAAAGATCATTGGAACTCTTGGTGATTCCCCCCTCCAGTCTTAGTCGCTGACTACTAAAGCTGGAGGTCGTTTTCGTTGTTGTTTGTTTTGTTTTGTTTATAAAAACCGAGCCAAAGAGAAAGGGATTTTCATCATAGAAAAATTGTTTTGATCTTTTCCAACAGTGAACATTATAAAACAAAACAATACAGAACAGGCTAACAAATAGCAGAAGGATCCAATTTTTGTTTTATCTTCCTCCCTAATTTCTCTGCCTCCTTTCAACACTCTTGCTACAGTGAAAAGCTTAAAAGATGAGCAAAAAGAAGAAAAAAAAAGGGTGAAATAAAAATTGGATTATTGATTCCTGAAAAATGGAAACTTGTATATGGTCGATAATTTTCACAAGCCACATGAGAACATCAGGCTCAGAGCATATTGTGGCTACCCTTTATGCTTGTTTTTAGATGGAACGACTGTCAAGAGGGTCATTGCTCAGGGATTTCCCTTTAATGGCCTTGGAAAGCTCGGGAGTTTATCCAGCGGGTTGGTCCTAAGACTGATGGCAGAGTGTTCCTTTCCTCTCTGGTGCCAAAATGGAAGAGTGGGGAGGAGGGCCAGCCAGGGATGCACGGATTGTAGCAAAGGGTCAGGCATCCCCACCTGCTCTTGTAGGTGGGCTCCCTCAACCTTGACAGGTATTTGTCACCCAAAACTCCAAGTCTCTATTTAGAAACTTTGACCCAATTTGAGAAAAGATGATGTGCTTGCATTGCAATTAAAAAAAAAAATCATTCAACAAATATTTAGCGATAATCTGCTGTATATTGAGAACTGGCTGGAACAGAAAGATGAACAAGACTCACCATTCTCCTCAAAGAGCTGATAATCGAGGGCTTTTTACCTCCAGGGAGAAGGGCCCTGCTTGGGTCCCCGGTCCCCATGCTTTAGATACACCACTCTGTCTATTAACCATAGGGACATCAATTAATAGTCACAGATGTTAGTGACTAAACTGGACGTGTCTATTACCAATATATCTTGTTTACTTTTTAAGTGCTGCATTTCAAAACATTACATCATAAATACCAGGTTATATAGTAATTATTATTATTAACTTCATAAAACTCATCGTTTCCAAACAGATGTAGACATTTTTAAAGATATAAAATATTTTCAAGTCTTGCAAATAATCCCAGGTGATTAATAATATGATTTGTCAATGTAGTAAAGAATGCTGATTTAATTGCTTTTCATCTTAATATCTCACTAGGAAGGAAAGACTAGTCAAATTAGACAGTTGGGGTTTAGTAGCCTGATATTATCTTAATATAAATTAACAGTAAACATTTAAAAACAACAGAGGAGGTAAAAACATTTTTTTTTAAGCTTGAGTAATGGATTCCTGAATCAAAATGGTATTTAGCACTAGAATGTAATATACTACCTACTGCTCAGTCTATTATCTATCATTATCTCTTGAACCCTATAATTGGACCAACAGGAAACTATTTATAATAATAAGTTTGTTCAAAATTATCTGTTTGCTGGAGTCTGGGGTGCACACTGCAGTTATAGTGAAGTGAAGTTGAAACTGCTTACTTTATCCTTTCCATTGTTTGTTCATTTTTGTTACCACAAAGTACAGCAACACTACACATCTGAGCAGTCCAAAGCATCTTACCAAACTTACCGAAGAAACAGTCATTTTCCTGCATTCCATGAATGGGCAACATAAACCTTATTTGCTGTAAGACGGGGCTGCCAATGAACCTGACCCATCTCCTGCCTAGGGTGTATGCACATAACGATGCTCAACACAAAACTGGGGCAAGCAATTTTCCCTCTGGAATTTCCATTAGATCCAACCACTTAGTTGCTTTATTTATCCTATCTCTGGTTTTATTTTTCAGCAGTTCTTTGGTAGTTACGTTCCTCTATCACAGCTATCCAAACATCAGGTTGCACAGGGCTCCTGCACACATAGGGCTCCTTCTAAGAGATTTAAATGGAAAAGCAACACGAGCCATTATTGGCCTATTTTCAGTTTTCATTATCAATAAAACAAGAGATCAGCATTTTCGTGCTGTGTGAAGCCTTCAGGGAAGTGCAATGTTGCTGTCGTTATCTTTAGACCAGGCTGCCGCCGCCCCCCACTAATGCACATGGAATGGTGAGTCCAATAAAATGAAAATAAAATAATGCAAGGATCGGAGTCACAGAGTGGGCTGCTGACCTGGTCCACTCCGTGGCTCCCTGAAAATGTCTCTTTGCGTTTAGTGGAGCATGGATGGTAAAAACCACAGATCATGACCAAACATAAATTCACCTCATAATGAGATTAGTAGGCAGGCAAAATAAATGTCCTGCTGTTACATTAGAGGCAGGCTCTAATCTGGTGTTTTCCTTGGAAATGATTATCTCCTTTATAACAGGGGAACCGTGCATGCAACTAGCTTAAAGCTGACAAGTTCTGTTTTGCCATGTAGTTCTTTTCCTCTGTCTTTTAAATAGCCGTTTTGAAGAGGCGTGTATAAGTGAGTTGTGAGTCTTACAGACTATAACCAAAGTGAGTTATTTATGGGCATCTATGTTCATGATCATCGGTTGTGTTTCCCAGACTTTCCTTTTAAAAAAAAGTTCTGTGCCACTCCCCCTCCCCCTTCTAAACAGGGGCCCTTCTGGGGAGGAGGTGTTGAGAGCCCCAGGGTCCTCTCACACTAGCCTTAAGGATCAAAGGCAGAATAGACTCACTATTGTATTTGCGGTATAGTTTTTTAAAATCTTTACCTCAGCTCTACTACTTAAAACCACTGGAAACAAGTATCACATACTAAAAAGCCTTAAGAAAATGCCCAGATCAGGTGAACTCACATGGTCTCTGAGTAGAACAAAGGCCTCGAGTATGCAGCTTGATTGCAAGGGACTTCCTTGGTTTTCAGCAGAAGGCAATCTCACCTGGAGTACAATACCTTCCTCTCATTAAAAATGCAAGATAGGATCTCCTCCTGGATCCTTTCTACAGAACCTGATGCAAGTTCATGGGCTGCACCGTCCTTAGCGTGAGTGGCATTTAATCAAAGCCCCTGTGAAATAATCTCCGTGTTTTTCGAGCCCTGTAAAGTCACCAAGTGAGTTAAGAGGTCCTTTCAAAACGAAAGGGAGACCAGACTCTGAATTTAGGCATATTTGAAGCTTCTGCATAGAAGTCAGAGACAACTTAATGTACACCTATTTTCTCTACATTTTCTAGAGCCCAGGCTAGAGATTCCTTACTTTTCTGTGATGCTAGGAATAAATCAGTTAGGAGTAAATCATTAAGAGTAAACCATTTGCTAGTACTCCAGTTCATGGCATTTTGACATATTGTTTTTCTTACGCTGGAAAGAAACCACAGAAATCTTTTGCATTTGCAAATGCACTTTACAGTTTACGGATTGGTTTACAAACGTTATTTCATCTAACGAAAGAGTTATTTTTCTGCAATTGGTACTTCCATCCTAAAACTTGAACTTCAAATCCAGCTATGTTAAGGGGGAAATTATTTTTTGGTTCCATTTAACAAGTGTTTTTCTTTCAACTTCCCATTTCTCCATAGCCTGAGTTGTGCCTCTGCTTACATATTTCTTATGTATCTAATTTGCAAATATCAGAGCATTTAAAGTCAATTCTCCTCCCATTCTCATTATTTTCTCTGCTTTCTGTTAACATCCTCCTCATCAGATGATGAAATATTTCAAGGAAAGACAGACTAATTTCCCATTAGGTAGGTAGGTGGTCCTATGTTTATTGGAACTCTCTTCTAACTTATCTTTTCATTTCCATAACTATTTCTTCCTTGTCCCACCATCTGTCCCTTGCTCCCCTCGATACCTCCATGTTTATAATTTAAGTTGCAAACAGTAACTGAATCCATTTGGCCAAGCGTCCAGGCTATTTGGCATGAGCTAATGATTTTCTAATGGTAGCCCATGCGTTAAACTCACAGAGTTAATGGTAAAGTTTCATGTTGAATAGTTTCCCTGAAGGAATTTCCTGAATTATGTTTGCTTACCTCATATACATGAACTTGTTCTTGGGTTACGGCGAAGATCAGTAACACGTTATTTTGCACCAGTTTCTCAATGAGTTGTCCAATTGTAGGATATTCCTAAAATTAACATACAGGTTATGTTAACAAAAGTATGCAAAATAAAGAAATGTTTCTTTCAAAGATAACTTACTGAGGTTGGCATTTCAATGCTCATAGGCATTATTGCGTCTACCACACTAAGTAAACAAATACACAATTAGCATTATTTACTTAATTGGTTTAATAATTGTTTCCTAAATCTTGTAAATCCAATTAATTCCTAAGAGTCAGTGCCTGTCAATGTGGTATATTATTCTCTGCTACTTCTAAGAAGATCACTTGAAATTTATTTAACGGCTTGTAGTGTGTCATATTTTCAAGGGTAGAGACACATTTCTTCTTCTAAGTGCCACTTGCCAGCAGGGAATGTTAGAGTGGGGGGAGGAGCAGGCAGACAATGACAGATGGCATTGGGTGACTCCTATAGCTCTGAAACTCGTACTGGAATTGTATGAGGCAGGATGAGAGCTGAGGAAGGAACAGCCTGCTGAGGAATGACGCACTATAATTCCTATGTCCATCTGATTCGAGACATTTCTGTACCAGTTCTTGGGTTTGGTCTTATGGCCTTTTTGATGCCACTAATCAGTTTTATGAGATCCTGCAATACTTTTACAGGACAGTTGAAAACACACTGTACCTCTGTCCCATTGACACATTCATTCCCAAGTGATATGGGTACTTTCAAAAATAAAGATGTCATTAATTATCAAATCTGAAGATGGCCTTTACTTTCCACGGCTCAAAAATATGCAGCCCATTTGCCTCTTGGACGAATCCAAATGTGGATAATGTACAAAGAGGAAACTCCAGTGCAAGAGGAGCCTGCAAACAATTAAACTAAGGATTTGCTGATTATGTCTGAAGCCAGTCACAGTGGAGGGACACTGTACACTAATGTGGTGTGTTCACTTATTCTCAGCACTTGTGGAGTATTTTTGTTTAATGTCTTCTTCAGGTACAAGATTCGAGTTGAGGGAAAAGAATAGTTTTGCCTAAAATACTCAGGTAAATGACCCAACTGCAGATCTAGCTGTGTAATATACATGCTTTCCATACCATTTGGGGTTTTTTTTGGTAGATAATAGTAGAATCCAGATAATATAAATCTTCCTGAGCCTGGCATTTTCAGTCTCCTCTGCTGTCAACTGCCCAACACTAGACATCCTTCACCCTTAAGCATGAATTCCTCCAGTGCTGGTCTCTGGCCTCTGCTCATCACCGCATGTTCTCTAACCTTTCAGCTGCTGTACGGTGTAGCCAGAATCACAACATGTAGCCCCCTTCATAGGTGGGCGAATATGACTTCCTATTTGATCCACATCAGTTGGTTTAATTCCCACAATTATACTGTGGGAATTATAAATTCCTCAAGACCGGGGACCACGTCCTATGATTTGGTGGTCCCAGGAGTCTGGTCCAGTGTTGAGTGCATAGGAAGTGCTCAAAGAACACAAGGGGGCTATGTTCCAGGCAGGCATGGAAATAGTGCATGGCTTTTGTGCATTTGTAGCAACTTACTCAGCAAAAAAGAACTGCACATTTATTAGATGAGACGGTCATATTAGGTAACAGGTAGTTGTTTTGCTTCTATGGTCCTGCTTTTTAAGATGTCTATTAAGGGGCATTTGAATAGTTGCAACAAAAAAGTGATGAAAAAAGGATTCATTTCTCACAATTTTTTACTCTTCATTGACTAGCAGATAAAAAGTGGCTAGCTTCATTAATCTTGTAATATGGAAAGGCAGTTTATATGATTAAAGAATATATGTTTGGAGAATACTATTGATCAAAAGTTAGGGGAAAACATTCATATTGAAGTTTAGAAATTGAGTCAAGGAATGGTAGCAGGTAATTTATGAACCATTAGATTTTTAAAAACTAACAGCCAGCACTTTATTAAGCATTTATATACATTATCTCATTGAATTCTTTTTTTGGAGATTAACTTTTTCCAATTGATATTAGAATTCTAGATTCTCTTCTTCTTCCTTTTCTTCTTCCCCTTTCTTTCTCTTTCTCTTTCTCTCTCTCTTTGGCTTCACTCCCCTGCCCCATCTTTCTCTGTTCTAATACACTTGTACAGCATTGTCATTTTAAGAAGTCACCTAAATTCTCTGTGCCATATTCTTCCAAATGTTAAATGAGGATAACATGACCTTCCCATGTTGATGCTTCATAATTCAATTCTATTTCATACAGTAGTCAGCACCCACTGTGTTCCGGTGGGAACCTCTAACAGTGTTGAGAACAGAGACAAGGTGGTGAGAACTGAGACAAGGCGATTTGTTCATCTCAAATCAGAATAGGTGCAGTGTTCTCACACATTGGGTTGACCTGCTATGTACTACCGTAGTTATTGCTTCATTTGCCTCCTTGTGGCCCTGAAAACAGTGTAGAGTGTAGGTTACATACCAAGACAGTTGACATGGAGTATTCATTCTTGCTGTCCAAGTGACACAGCCCATCATTAGGAATGACGATGCCTGCTAGTTTGCTGTCCATTCCAAAATGAGAATCAGCATCACTTACAAAGACCAGGAGATGGAGGGAGTCATTCCGCCAGCCAATTTTTTCCTACCGTGAGAAAGGAACATTTGGTTTGTATTGAATAGCAGCATGCATTTATTAAAAGTGACTTGATTATGGTTGGACACATTCAGATTATAAAGTTAGGTTGCTGGCCTATCTAAGTAAGCCTTTTTCATCTATTGCGAGTTAATAATATTAATGTATTAAAAACACAAAATTCCATGACATTTGCTTTCCCCTGGATAACATTTTCAGATAATTTATGCTTCAGGAAAAAATATTTCCACTATAATCAGTATCCAGTTGATCTTGACTTTTACATGGTTAACTATTTTTACTGTCCAGCTTTCAATTTACCAGAAAAATGAGGGGAGGGAGGTAATAGATGATCCCAAATCCATGCTGAAGAAAAACTAGGCAGAATGCAGTATAAAATGGACTCAGTGTAAGCCTGTAAAATGTCACCCAACATTTAGGCCCATATTTCTCTTTCTACTGATGTCAACCAAATATTTTAAGTAATAGAAGGATAAAAATTGCTTATCAAAGTATGACCCGAAGGTATTGCTATTTAAGATGATCTGTTGGCTGTTTCTTAGCAGAGCTCTCCCCTTTAATTAATATTAGTTCAGATCTAGTTGGGTGAAAGCTCATCCTGATGGCACCATTCTACCTTACCTTTTTCCTTCCTTCCTTAATTTCTTGGCCCTCCCACCTTCTAGGAGCTTCAGCCCTGTTGGTTTCCTGATATTTTCCGTGAAGAGCTGTCATCTGAATACAGAGGAGCCATTCATGTGGATATGTGCCTGATTGTCTAGGAAGAGTGGTGTTCCTGACTTGCTGTAGAGACAGCCTGGCTTTGGATGCTTATTTTCTTGGTTCAAAACAATAGATACCTAAATCATATGTAGAGATTTATACTGATTCAGGGCATTTTTACTTTTTTCTCATTAATTGTTTTTCACCATGGTTAACTCAAAAACTAATTAATCTGATCTCCGTCTTTGAAAATTAATCATGCATGACTAGAACATTATTAGATTATTCGAAGATTACGCATAAGAACAGCCTCATTTTAACACGATTGAATTAAAAATTTTATAGAAATTTTGTTTTAAGGAAAGTATCAAATGTAGAAATATGGCAATTAAAGGAAAGATAGCTAAGATTTTCAAAGTAGATGTATTACTAGAGGAGAGATTGTTATCAGAGCGAAACACAATTCCCTTCTGCATACCTTACACACAGCAGCCTGCATAATTGCATCAAATCCACCTTCGGGTGTGTCGATATTAGCAGAAATTTTCTGATTCTTCACAATTTCGTTGAATCTTTCAGCATCATTTGTCAGTGGCAAAATGTGCTTGAATCCAAATGTAGGTAAGCAGAAGTGTGGAATACTACTGCAAAAGTAAAATGTGCAAACATTCTTGAAGAAATATGAAATAACACACAAGTAGAAGATCTAATAGTCTGATAATGTTTCCTTAAATGAAAATGAATTTTTCTGAAGTGCCTGCCTCTGTAACTTGGCTATGAGTCTCATTGCTAAGGTTGTTGTCACCATCTCCCAACCATCCCTGCCAAATTGACCATATTAGCTAATACTTAGAGCTTACTCTGTGTCTTACACTTGCTCAAGCTCAGGTTACAGATAAATAGGTGGTCGATCAGACTCCCCACTCCTATATGTGTGTGTGTTTGGGGTGTGTGTGTGTGTGTGTGTGTGTGTGTGTGTGTGTGTGTGTGAGCGTAATCACTATGTTCTATTGCCTATCAACCAAAATCCACCATTAAGTTTACATGACAACAATTTCTTTGTATTTCCAATATCCTAAGCTGTCATCAAGTATGAGTCACCCTATAGCAAGATTGAGAGAGGAGCCTTCTTCTCCCTTCTCCACTCCCTCTTGCACTCTCAACCCCGCCTGCCAAGGCGCCAGGGATCAAAGCAGTGTTCCTGGTTTTAGAGCCCAACTCTACTCTGATTGAACAGATTGTTGTGGACCAGCTCAGGAATAAAACCACCACTTAAAATAGTTTACACATGGGAAGAATGCCATGTTAGCATAGCCGCCCCCAAAATATTACAGCAGAACAGAAATTGCTGATCATACATTCAGCCACATTTTATGAAAGCCAGTTAGTAGCTGTGAAGAAGACTTTGGGCAAGTTACTCAACCTTTCGGAGCTTTGGGTTTTCATTTGTAAAATGGAGGTACTAGTACAGGGCAGACATCCTCAAAGTGTGGTCCCTACACCAGTAGCATGATCATCATGTGGGAGCTTGCTATAAATGCAAAATCTGGGGTACTACTCCAAACCGACTGAGTTAGGAATGTTAGGGGTGGGCTCAGCAACCTGTATTGTCCTAAAGCTTGAGAAACACTGGTGTAGAAATACAGAGACAAAAAGGTGTAAGCCCCAGTGGGGCTGTGGTGTCCTGCCTGGGAAGAGCTGGTTGCTCTTGTAAGAGCAGCTTTGCAGGTTCAGGAGCCTGTGTGGTCAGCACAGGAAGAGCCAATACTTCTTTCAGGGTCAGGGTCCTGTTCCCCAAGTTCATCTGCCTGAGATATACAGTCAGGCCTCATTATTCATGGATCCCATCTCTGCAAATTCACCTACTCGCTAAAATTTCTTTGTAACCTCCAAATCAATACTCTCAATACTTTCTCAGTCAGTCATGTAAGTGCACAGAGAGGCAAAAAATTGAGTCACCTGATACACATGCTCCCAGCTGAGGTCAGACAAGGCATTGCCTTCTTGCTTTGGCTCTTATACTGTAAACCAGCATCCTTTTCGTGGTCTATGTGGTGCCATGTTTTTTTGCAGTCTTCTGCTTTTTGTTGATGATTTTTGCTGTTTAGGATGACCCTCAAGTGTAGTACTGAAGTGCTGTCTAGTGCTCCTCAGTGCAGTTAGGCTGTGATGTGCCTTACAGAGAACCTAAGTGTGTTCTGGCATGAGTTATAGTGGCTGTTGGTTGTGAGTTCAATGTTAATGAATCAACAATATATATATATATATATATATATATATATATATATATATATATATATATATATATAAAATAAGGTGTCTTTAAGCAGAAACACACAGAGAACAAAATTATGTGTTGATCAGTTGGTGAAAACATGACCAGAGGTTCACAGGAACCTACCCCTGTTTCCGCTAGGAGCCATGGTTCAGTATTCGTTAATTCAGTGGTCAAGGAAACTTTATGGGACAAAACACCTGTGAATGATAAGGAGTAACTATATGTACAAAACAGAATGACTATGAATTTGTTCACACTAAGAAATGGAGCTCAACTGGGACCCGAATGCTGATGTCTGCAAGGGTAGTCATTTTCTTACTGTCAGTAGATGTTGGTGGAAAACAGGTCATAATCTGATGTGTCCTCAGGGTTCAGAACAAGGGGGATTGAAGGACCCCAGCACTGACTGGTACAGTTTGAGATGTCCCAGAACAGTCATCTCTAGAATGGTTGCTCTTGGTCACACCTGGCTCCTCTCTCATCTGTGTTCTCAGCTAACAAAGGTTTGGGAAGTTATGGCAGCCAATGGGATTAGAAACTCTGGAAATGCCTTAGCTAAGGCTCTTGGAGGAAAGTGGCCTCTACTTGTGTCTGTAACCCCCGTTTCTTGGCACTCCCCTAGCCTACCACGCCTGTTCATTCTTTTAGCTATGATAAGACACCTGTTCAGGTGGGTCCAGGAGCCAGCCTGTCACTTGCAGGGAACTTTTCATATTTCCTTTCTGATTCATTGTGTTTAACTTTAACTCTCAGAAAGCAATCTTATTCTCTTATTTTTAACATCTTGCAGTGGCTTTCATTGAAACTCTGCTGACCACAGATAGTGTCTACCTAGTAGTACAGTTGTGAAGCTTGAATGAGATAAAAGACGCAAAACACATGGCACAATGAGCTTTTCAAAGTAAGTGCTTACTAAATATTAGTGTCATTTCTTACAGGAATCACTTCTCACAGAGTCTAGCACAGATTTAAGGACAGATCATGGATTTGGCTAGTGATATCTCTAGCATCATATGGCTTTCTGCTGATTAAAAAGATAATGTATGTTCATTGAAGAAAATTTGGGTTTCTATGTAAGTATAAACAAGAAAGTGAAAACATAAATTTTAATGTTTATAAGATGTATCATAGTTTATTTGATCAGCTACTACTGAAAATTTATTTCAGAAATCTTTCTGTAATTAAATAATGTAGTGATCCTTCTACATACATCTTTGCAAACTATGCTATCTATATCTTTGCTTAGAATCAATTCTTTGAAGGGAAATTTCTGGGTAACTTTTGGTCTATATTAGCAAACTCTTTTCTAAAAAGTTTGTATCAGATGCATCATTAAAAACAAAAACTGTACCAGTGATTAGTTAAAATGCTATCTTAATTTAATTTTTAATTTCCATTTTATTACTACAAAGACTAAGCACTTGATCATATTTATTGACATTGCATTTCTTTTGTCAGTTTTTATCCTTTGCTCATTTTCTTATTGTGGTATTTTTTATTTTCTAACTTCATTTTAAGAAATCCCTCTTAAGAATATTATCCTTTTCTCATTGTAGTTTGTCTTTTTAAATTGTTTATGATGTTTTTGGGTAAATACCTTAAAACTTTAATGTAGTCACTTTTTTCCCCCACCTTCAAATGTGAGACGTATTTTTTAAAGAGTTATACAAGAAAAGGGTCTAGTTTTTTTTATAGTTAATCTATTGAGTGACAATATAGTAGCATTTTTTCTAATTGGTCCTACAGCATTTAAAGTAGCTATGGGGTGAAAGAAAATATATTAGATTTAGACAAAAAAGATTGAATACTTATCTATTCTTGGGCGAGTTACTTAACATTGCTGAGCCTCAGTGTCCTCATCTATGAAATCAATGATGATGCCTACTTCAGGAGGTTCTTGTAGAGATCACATGAAGTAAAAAGTATGTAACTGTGTGAGTGTACCATTTTCCCTAGAACCTAACATTCTTGGAAATTCCTAGTTTAATCTTTTATTTGGAGCCGTTGGTTCACACTGTACCAAAATGGCATTTGGGTATCTTCTGCAACCAAAGAAGAAGAGTTTTTATCTTTTTGTAAGAAATTTGCATCTTTGTTGGTTAGAATTATTTGCTATGTAGATATTAGCAGAACTCTATGTTTTTGGAAAGTGGAATTAAATTTTAATTTAATTCACTAAACAGATTTATGTGCTGGGGGACCAGTGTAACTAAAGCAAAACAGAGTCAGAACCAGGTCACGCCAGGAAATTTTGAGTGGAGGCTGACCTTGTTTGGTCAGAGTTCTTCCTCTCACAAATGCTCATATTTGGTTGTTACTTTCTTAACTTAACAATTGAAGAAAATAGGTACTCATCACCAAATAACTTGATTTTAAGTCCCTTGGTAACAATAGATTTGTGTTTAAAAGATAATTATGAAACACAATATAAAAAAGTACTACTCATATTTTATTAAAATTTTAAATAATATTTGTAAAATAAGACTATAGTGATATATACCCAAAGGTTGACATCATCTTTTTTGAGAAGGATTAGACATAATTTCCATTTTCTTTTTTTTGTCTGTATACTTACATGAGGTTGTCATTACCTTTGCAATCAGAAACTATACTATATACTCACATATGTTTATCTGTGTACATATAGAAAATTAAAGCATCTCATGGTTCAGTTTCCTCCTTTGCAAAATTACAATGAATTCCTCATTGTTGGTGTCAAATTCAAAACAAAATAAAATACCATAACATATATGAAATGATGTTAAAAAAGAAATCCCTCAAAATGTTTGATAGAGGGAGAAAATTTGACCTTTGTGCTAGTACATATTTTTAAATATTCATCACAACTCATCTGCAAATATGAAAATGGAGAAAGTATGTTTTTTGTTGCTGTATCTTAGACAACAGCATAATGGAAACTTCTTTCAAAAAACGTAAACATTTTACACGGTAAAATAAATTTTTAGTGACCCTCCATCCAAAAAAATGTTGCAGATTAGATTAAAACAGAGGTTTTACAAGCATGGTACATAGGCCCACAGAGGTATCTGAGACCTTGTCAGAGAGTCCTTGAGGTTAAACCCTTTTCAAGATAGTGAAAGATGTTAGTGTCTTTTTCACTGTGTTGGCATTTGCACTGATGATGCAAAGCAGTGGTGATAAAACTGTTGGTGCCTTAGCACAAATCAAGGCAATGTCACAAAACTGTATAGTTGTCCTTATAGTTTTTACCAAATTAGTTATAATTTGGAAAATGCTAATTTTATTTGATTGTCCTTGATGAAGCAGTAAAATTTACTAATTTTATTAAGTCTATACCCTTGAAAACATGTTTAAAAAATATATTACTGGGCCGGCCGAGTGGCG